ACTAGGTGGGGTGTGGTTGTGATGGAAATGTATATATTTTTCTTTATTTTGTATTTTCCATATTGTATATTCTCTGTTTCCCATATGTTCTATTTGCACAGGTGTTAGCCTTTAGTATTTTCTCTGTGTATGTGGCTAAAACTTCTGTCAGCATTCCTCTAACAGGGGAATGGCTATGTCCAGTTAGAACTAATCTGAGAAGATACGGTTGAAGGTCAAAGTCGATCCTTGAACAGCCTTTATCAGTATAAAAGAGACACATTTAATAAAAGATTAATATTTTTCTTCACAACAAGACTAGGAAAGATCTCTCAGGTGCATACCTAAAAGAAACGTTGTTGTAGTTAAAGGTTTTAATGTTTGAATTTGTACAAAAAATAATCCATTTTGAAAATACAGTGACCCAGCTGTCGTTCCAATACGTCCACAAAAGTGATGTTAGCACCAATTGGTTAGCTGGAGTAGCTGGACAAGTTGATTTGCTGGAAAAGCATCATCTGCAAAGCTCTAGCATCACATTTTTTAATTTGTGCAGAGGATCTGAGCTGGATGGAGATGGTTATTGCATCTGTTCCTCACACAAATCAATCGTTTTGCCCCGGAAGACTTGGAATATTAATACTTTTTGCATAAAGTGTGACTGTAGTTGTATCTGCCTTTTATATCCTGTGTTTTACATTGACAGATGGTTAAGTTTAGGGGCAAGTGTTGGGTTACATGCTGAAAAATGTATTAATAGTGTAATGTTTGTTATAGTGTTATAATAGTGTTAACTGTGTGTGTGCACTAAGGATGGGTTAAATGCAGAGCATTAATTCCTAGTATGGGTAACCATACTTGGCCACATGTCACGTCACGTCACGTCACTTAAATATAATGTGAATAAATGCTCTTGTTCTATCCAGGCTGGACTATTGCAATGCTCTCTTGGCAGGTCTTCCAGCCACTTCTATCAAACCTCTACAATTAATCCAAAATGCCGCTGCAAGATTAATCTTTAATGAGCCGAAAGAATGCATGTCACACCTCTGTTCATAAATTTGCACCGGCTACCAGTAGCTACTCGCATTAAATTCAAGGCATTAATGTTTGCCTACAAAACCACCACTGGCTCTGCACCCATTTATCTAAATTCATTACTTATTATGTGCCTTCTAGAAGCTTGCGTTCTGCAAGTGAACGGCTTATTATTGTGCCATCTCAAAGAGGCACAAAATCCCTTTCACAGACTTTTTCATTAAATGTTCCCTCCTGGTGGAATGACCTGCCCAAATCAATCCGAGCATCGTCCTTAACCATCTTCAAGAAACGACTAAAAACACATCTGTTCCACCTTTATTTGACCCTCTAACTCTAGCACTTTCTATTCTATTTTAGTTCTACTTTATCTATATTTATCTTCTTTTTTTATTTAAAAAAACAAACAAACACTAGCTTTCTATTTTTTCTATTCTATCTACTTGTTTTTCTTTGTGTGTGTGTGTGTGTGTGTGTGTGTATTATATATATATATACACACACCTTGCTACGTGTACTGCGGTAGGCTAACTGAGACTTGTAATTTGCACTTATATATTGTTGCTCTTTTGTTAGTTTTGACTGCTTTTATTGTCTTCATTTGTAAGTTGCTTTGGATAAAAGCATCTGCTAAATGACTAAATGTAAATGTAAATAAAATTGTTGTGACTGTTTAAATTTAAAACCACACCCCAACATATGTAATAGTGGCAAAATTATTACACAATATGTAATCGTATCATTACAATCTCATGCCCTTCGCGTCGGCATATTGACGCCAAAGGTCTCTTATTTAAAGCAACGGAGTACTGTGCACTTCGAAAAACAATACCAAAGGGGTTCCCTGTGTGTTAAAAAGTGATGCCCAAAGGGTAACCGACCAAGCTTCAATATGTGACGAGTTGGGAGTGAGAATGTGTTGTAAGTGTAGCTAACAGTAGTTGTTAAAATACTTTTATTTATGGTCAACATTATACTAAAGTGCTTGAGAAATGCAAAAATCATGTGCATGACTTTTTCTGTTTGTGTTTTTCTGCCACACAGGTGACATCAGGTGCAAGGGGATGACCGAACGCATTCACCACATTAATCTCCACAACTTTAGCAATTCTGTACTTGAGACCCTCAATGAGCAGCGAAACCGCGGGCACTTCTGTGACGTGACTGTTCGGATCCATGGTAGCATGCTGCGAGCTCACCGTTGTGTGCTGGCTGCAGGCAGCCCCTTCTTTCAGGACAAGCTGCTCCTGGGCTACAGTGACATCGAGATCCCCTCTGTGGTTTCTGTACAGTCCGTCCAGAAACTGATTGACTTCATGTACAGCGGTGTGCTGCGGGTCTCCCAGTCCGAGGCCCTGCAGATCCTCACAGCTGCCAGCATACTTCAGATCAAGACCGTTATCGACGAGTGCACCCGCATTGTTTCACAAAATGTTGGCATTGCTGGATCTGGCAGCTTTTCCGTCGTCCCAGGCGACTCGGGGCAGGAGACACCACGGGGAACTCCTGAGTCTGGCACGTCCGGTCCCAGTAGTGATGCCGAATCAGGCTACATGCAAACATCTCACCAGAGCCTTGACCGTGTTTATTCCTCACTTTATTCCAGCTGTTCTGGGTTGAGCCTGCAAAACGGTACCCGTGGAAATCGCTCCCACTATGCCAGTGCCACGGTGACAGCCAACTACGACTCACCCCTTCCACTACAGCAGAAGGAGGGAGGGCAAGACCCTGCCTGGATCACACGCATCCATGAGCGTTCGCAGCAGATGGAGCGCTTTCTGGCCACGTCGGAGACTACACACTGCCGTAAACAGCCTCGTCCCGTGAGGCTCCACACAGGTGATATTCACATCAAGCAGGAGCAAGGGGACGAGTACCACTGCTACGGGCTTGATGACTGCCGTGAGGAGAGCGAACAGCTGGAGTGCGTCGAAAGTGAGCCCAAAGGCGAGAGCTTTGACTCCGGCGTCAGCTCTTCCATTGGCACGGAAACGGATTCTGTCGAGCAGCCTTTCTTGTCTGGGTTCGCTCGAGACAATTGTCCAAATAAAGGCCAGCAAGGTGAGCGTGGAACCCCTGTGCAGATCGAGGTCAACGATTCATCTCCCGAGCAGACTCAAGAGTCGGTTGAAGACGGGAATAGAAACGGTCCTTCTCAAGAGAGTGGTGAGCTTGGAATCCATCAGCCACCACAAGCCAACCTAACAGCACCACAGTCCATGCCTGGTGGGCCATACCTGCGGTCAGGTGAGCCACTTACCAGCAATCTGCGTATGCCCCTCACCCTGACCAGCAACACCCAGGTAATGGGAACTGCAGGCAACACTTACTTGCCTACACTCTTTGCAACCCAGTCAGCCAGCGACAACAAGCCTTTCCTCTTCAGTCTGCCCCAGTCCATTGGGAGTCAGCAGCCCCAATTTGTGGCAGTGCCCTCTCCCAGCATGCCTCCATTCCCCAGCGGACTGACGGTGCTACCAGGTGGAAGTCAGCAGCAAGGTGGTGCTGCAGTGGGACAGCATGGGGAGAAGAGGCCCTACGCATGCACTCTTTGTTGTAAGACCTTTACTGCCAAACAAAACTACGTGAAACACATGTTTGTGCACACAGGTGAGTTTCCTTGGCCTTTATCTCTGTATGGTTAGCTAGTGTATCCGATTATATCCATAAGCTAGTCTGAAACACTTTTGATTCAAGGCGAATAATTGGTAACAATTATTGTGAATTTTCCTTGTTGGCTGTCCTCTGTGGATTAGGTATTATATTATAAGCAGCCCATTTCATTTCCTCAAAATTATTGATATGATTCTTCAGTTAATGGGTTTTAACACAAAGCTAAGACTCAAAGAAACGAGAGCTTTGTCTTTGGCAAAGTCTCTAAGCTTTACACAGAATGTTCTCAAGCTATTTGCCAAATGCATGCTAGTTCCAGCTTTGTCATTGCATATATGCAGATGTGATCTTGTTTTATGAAAAAGTCTGCTGCATCCCTTTTTTTTGACATGCCACAAAATCATCTACATTTTAGGAAGGTGATTTATCTAAAACAACTTTCAGTATATCCTTAAGCAACCTGGCTTTGGCACTGACATTCCCACTTGTGAGAAGCTGAGTTTTGGAGTCATCTCTTCTGGAGACTGATCTTGCGAACTGATCTTGCGATTTATTAGCAGAACATATTCAAAATGGCTTTAATACTTCTAAAGCGTACAGTAAAATAGCCTGCCTTCAAAAGAGCAAAAAACTGTGAACTCCTGAAGTAGATTACCATCAATAATTATCTGTCGTCAGGCCAGAACCAAGTCTGTGTGATCTTATATGTTTATTAAAACAATCAGGCTTTGATCCTTGGTATGTCTTCAAACATGCTGCCATAATTGAATCACAGGAGCTTTTATCGTACAAAATATATTTTACAATAACAACAGATGTTATTGCCTGTGACCTAGAAGATTGTGGCTGCCAAGAACATAAATATGTATATAACTGGCCAGGTTTCATCTTACAGCAATATACATTTACTTCCTTGTGATGTTTACTTTTCTACAATAGTTCTCTTTTTTTTCTACCAATTTAAAAAAATTAACTTTTCTTGTTTTCTATTTCTTTTTCTGTTATGGAGTTATGTCTAATGCATTCTTAATACCTAATTTAATCAATTTTGAGTTTCATTTAAAAACCAGTAGAAATGACTGCCTCACAAGCTTCACATGTGATTCCTGATTGTAATAATGACCATGAAAAATGTTCAAACTTGATGAGAAAAGAGATGTGTATGAAATTTCAATGTAGCTTAAGCATGTTGGCTGTGCTGGCCTTTTCAGATTTCAAAATGTGACATTACTGTTGCTAGGCAACCACAGCACTAATTAATTCCATAATTAAAATACATTTAGCAACATTAATAATCTGCATACAAAGTTCAACTTTAAAAACAAGTTACAGTTAAAAACAAGAATTACAGGAACAATTTTTTAATCTGTACTTTTTAATTATTTTATGTAATGATATGCACAGAGTATCACATGTCAAATTTTGTGTTTTTGTAAGGTTTTATCAAAAAACAAAACATAGACATCATGAGTTCAAGAGGCATTTTTTTCTTAAAAAGAGGAACATGTACAGTATGTGTCAAATTTAAGGTCTGTAGCTGTCATATATTGCATACTTATAATTACTGAAATGATTTGCCTGCAAAATACGGTAACTTTTCACCATACTGTCACAAAAAGCAGAAGAAGAACCTGCTCAGCTTTGCTGCCTTGATCTACAATAGCATGATCAAAATGATCAGTGATATGATTGAAAATGGTTCCTTTCTAATGAGTTTGTGCTCTGTGCTCTTTCAGGTGAAAAGCCACACCAGTGCAGTATCTGCTGGCGTTCGTTCTCGCTGAAGGATTATCTCATCAAACACATGGTTACACATACAGGCGTCCGAGCATACCAGTGCAGCATCTGCAACAAACGCTTCACCCAGAAGAGCTCGCTCAACGTCCACATGCGCTTGCACCGTGGAGAGAAGTCCTACGAATGCTACATCTGCAAGAAGAAGTTCTCCCACAAGACCCTGCTGGAGCGCCATATGGCCCTGCACAGCACCGAAACCAGGGTCTCCAGGGTCAGTGCCGCCGGGAGCGCCGGAGGCCCCGCATCCATCCCGGTTCCGATGGCTGTTCCCGAGCCGGGAGCGGGAGTGGTGGCTCTCTCCATGCAGGTGGGAGCGGGTGGAGCAGGGGGTGGAGTCGGAAGCACCGGAGTGGGCGTTGCTGCGGAAGCGAGCTGCCAGGAGGGGACCACCTACATGTGCTCCGTGTGCCCTGTCAAGTTTGACCAAATCGAGCACTTCAATGACCACATGCGCAAGCATGTCTCCGACGGATAAGTACAAATAAAAAAAACTTGCGTAAACATGAAAAAGAATGAAATGATAACGAAAACGGCACTAGATTTTTTTTTCTTATATTGGGGCATGAAGAGTAATGAGTATAGACACTGGCACATTAAGTTTTCTAGAAGAAAAAAAAAGAAGCGTTTAATTTCTTTTCTTTTTTTTTTTGTCCTTGCTATTCTTAAAGAATAAAAAAAAGATGGTGGCCTTAAGGCTGTGTAGTTGGATAATGATCCACTGGCTGGATCCATACTACTGGCCTCTAAATGTATGCTTTCCTTAAATACTGATTTATGTGTTGAACACTACCGAAAGGCCTGCGAAAGAACACACAAGAAAAAAATAATTCACATGCGCACACACACTCAGACATACACACAAACACAAATACACATACCCATGCATGCACTCACACGCACAAACTACTTATACACACTTATAAACGGTAGAGGTATTTTGTACGTATGTGTATTTGTGCATGTGAGCGTGCGTGTGCACAAAAATAAATATTGCAGTGAATTTTTTTAACTTGTAGATCTTTTCCCATGTAGACCGTATTGGACACTATAAGCGTCCAAGCTTACTGTGGTATAGATTCAAAAAAAAGAAAAAGAAAGAAAAAGAGATTTGGCTCTAGATTCATTCTAAAATAATGATGGTCACGTGTTTGCCTTTTTACAGTATGTGCGATAAGAATAGGAGAGTTGTTCAATTTGACACTGGGTTTTTATTTATTATTATGGCTTTGAGGGATTATGATGTTGATGTTGTCAAGGTACAAGCCAGTTTTACTAACTGTACTAAAATGGGAATTTTTGAGTGGCTTGATGAATGAATGATTATTATGATTATGACATTTTCATTTTCTCCCACCACACTTTTTTTCCCCCGATGGTTCAGGTCAAGTTTACAAAAAAAAAAAAAAAAAGAGTTTATCAATGACAGTATTCAAGCAAAAACTTGAATACTGAATGCCGTTAATAATTTCCAATTCGTTTTGCATACACTGCCACTAAGAAGACGACTGTTAGTTGACCTCTTCCGCTTCAAAACGAAATGTGATAAAGTTGTGAGCAACTGATTTGTTCTTTTCATTTGCTCCCATTTTTTTGGACAAAAAGAAAAAAGGAAAATGGCAGATTTTAGTATGCAAACAGGCCCAAAATCCAAGTTAATTGCTGCTCCTCACGTGCTCACTTTGAGACTGTTATCAGCTGTAGAATCCAACATTATGTGGATATTTCTCAAATTATTATTATTTCTCAGTGAACATGGGAAACGTTAAGCTATTTGGAGCCATGGGCTAGATTAGATCAAAAGTGAACTGGACAGAAATAACCTCCTAAATGCATAAAAATTATGTATTTCCTGTTAGCGGCGACTACTATGACTCAGTTGTTTGGGCCGGTGGGGTGACTAAAATGCACTACTCCTGTTCCTAAAGCCCCACCTAGTGGCTCAAACAGCCGTCCTTGTTTTTTGCCTGATGGGATATACACATGGGGCGAGAGAGCAGGCGAAGGATATAGGGACGCAAGGCAACAGAAAATGAAATATCTACTGAACCACAATAAATTAAACACGGTCATTCTTCTTTAATATACCACAGGGAGAAAACTCTCCAAACAATAAGAAACATTCCCAATTTTACCGATATCTAGACATTGTGTGTGTACTTCGGAAGTGAGTTGAGAAGGTTATATTTTTGGTGTTACGTCACTCAGAAGCTCTGTGTTCATATTTGGTTTTGTTATATACGTATTTTATGGATCTAAAAAGACTCATCTGCCGTGCAACTGCAATCAGGCAATTTTGCTCACTTATCCGAGTAGATACACTTTTGGAGTGTAGTTAAAATGATGACAAAATGTATCGATCACAATTTATTTAAACTTTTTCCATTTTGAAATTTGGTCACATAAGTTGTAGGTTTGAAAAACAGTGCTACTTTGCACATTTACTTCAAAATCCTGTGCTTAAACATTGAATTGTTTTACTTAAGAAATTAAATTCTATGGTTTTCTTTTTTTTCATTGTTTATAAATGAAATATCTTTTCTTAAAAGCTTGATAAGAGGACTGCATTGTTTTCTTGCATATATGTTGCACTGCTTAAACCAATAAGTGCACTACTGTTACCAGAGATGTTCTAGTTTTTAGAGATAATCATTTTTTTAAATCAAATATTTGGTTCTATAGTTCACTTGTGTTTGAGTAGCTTTGTTCTTTTTTTGATTAGATGATAAAAAAAATTCTTGGTTTTGTTATCATCACTTGCTATTGTATTTACTTTGTGCTGTTTATGCAAGCATTTTTTCTTCTTTATTTATATTTAAACCATTGTAAACTTATCCCTGGTCAGATCCTAATGATGTATTGCTTACACCACTTCCATCCCTTCCCCCATCCCAACACTATCCCAATGCAGTTAATTAATTGAAGCAAATGCTCGGTTTTCTTCTCATTCATACCAAACTAAAAAAACAAAAAAACAAAACAAAACAAACAAACAAAAAAACATCAAAATCACAAAACCACAAAAAAAAGAGAGAAAAAAGCATTGTAGTGTGTGCCTAAATATATGATAAATGTCTTTTAGAACAAGTACGTTTCTATGAGAGGGTCATTGTGCAAAGCTTTTAGTGCTGTCTAGGGATCAAGCACATTTATGTATGTGTTTGTATGAGCATGTGTGTGTATATTCCTCTGGTATGTCTCTATGTGTGTGCTGTACAATTTGTGATGCCTGAACTGTAGGGCTTCCTTTGCAATATGCAGTACAGGTACGGCAACAGTGACAACGTTATTTTACAAACTTAGGAGTGCATTTGGTAACTTTCTCAAGAACAATCATTACTATTTTCCCTACAATAAATGACACAAGGAACATGATGCTGTTAAGGCTCTTGCTTTAAGCCTGAATGATATGATCTGGCCTAACCCAGTGCTGTCAAAGTCAATTCAACGACTTCAATATGCCTGTTGAGTATTCTGTATCGTTCTCCAGTGCTTCGAGACCAAACATCGCTTTTTAACTCAATTATGCTGCAAAGTTTGGCCACAGGCTGTGTTGTATCAGTCTGAGGTGTTGCCTTAGACTTGCAGACGTGTTTGTTGGTCATTTCCAGTCGAGTTTCAGATCCCGATCTTGTTTTACTTCAGCTTAGCGTACCATTTTGATGGTTGTGTTGAGTAGCTAAATGATCTGTTGGTGGTTTGTGGCGGTGGTGATGGTACAGTTGATAGTCGAAAGAGTCCTGTCTCATCCATTGGTTGTGAATCATTTGTTGGTTCTAAATGTAATTTTTTCCCATTCAGTAACCGTCCGTATGGATTTCAGCTGCCGCAAATCGCAGAAACGTTATACCAGAACATACGTGTCTCTAAAGAAGGGTCAGGCCAGCATAAACGTTAACATTTCGATGCATTAAAGCACTTAATGAGCGCTACCAGAGAGCGGGGTGGGAGGGAGGGACTTACATTGGCCATCAGCTGTGTCTTTACAGATAGCCTTAATCATGTTTGACTCAAGCGACCAAATGCACTATTGCTTGTGAAGGTGCTGTTGCAATTTCTAGCGTTTATTTTACACAAGGGATATATATTTAAGAGAAAGCAACCTTGCAATACAGTATTGGTAAATTGTCTAGTGAAGGTTATGAAGGACATACAGCTACATGTAAATCGCCGATTTCTCTTGTCATTTTGGTATAGATTCATTCGGCCATGCGTTTTAACCAAGCATGGAGGCAACAGCGTCACCGGTCCTAGTATCAGGCTTCATATATTAAAGCTGTCTCATCTCGCTTGTGTTGAAGTGCTATGAGGCTTTAATATCCGATATTACTGTTACTCTGTGTTTGTTCATATGTAAAAAGGAAAAAGAACAGCGACAAAAAAATAAAAATAATGTTTTATTTCACAGAGACTTTGTTTAGGCAAAATTGTGTAGTTTGTGAAAGTGTAAAAATCTGCACGAAGATGTTTAGACACAAATCAGATGCTTAAATATCATAGTCTACTATCCATTGCATCTAGACTGGACACCGTTCTTGTGGGTAAAAAGCACTATGATGATCACTTCTATGGGTAGTTCAGACAGACTTTTTACATTACTTACAGTATATATTTACAGTTCATAACTGTAGAGTTAGCTTTTATTTTTGTTTTCTGCTTAAAATTGTAATTTTACAATACATATTAATTTTCTTCAGTGTACAGTATAGATACAGCATTCTCTTTGCTATTACAGTAAGTTTTTTGTTGTAGGACTACCACCTTCTTTTCTCCTTGCTTTTTAACAAGGGTACTTTTTTAAAAACAAAAATCTTAATTTATAAAGAATATCTATTCCTAGAGTATAGGCTTGTGGGCACAGAAAATACATTGGAAAACATCACCAATATCTACGTAGGAGCGGAAGAGGTTTTGCTCACTCGGCAGAGTGAATATTACTTGGAACAGTTGAATGATTGGTTGTGTTGTATGCTCAGAGACTAAGCTTTTTCATAACATGCAAAATATATCATGCATCCTATAATACTGTTCTGAGAAATCCCCAGTGAAATACTTCAGTCAGATTCAGTCAGCCCATTTTCCCCATCTCCATATTTAAACAGTCAGCTTCAATTTAACATTGCTGCATTGAAATCTTTCATCTTGCAGTTGTTTTCTTCTTCGAACAAACAAAGACTTAATCTTCTCTCTACACAATGGTCAGACTAATTTAAAACAAGCTAGAGAATCCATGTCTTCATCAGCATCTACAACAGATAGTACTGTAACCAAAACAACACCTAACACTGTACATGTGGAATTTTACAATGCCTCTCCTTTGTAGAAGAAAAAAAATGATGAAGTGCCTCTTTTTACAAATCCAAGCTTAATAAAGCTCACAATAATACTGTTATTTTTATTCTGTAATAATAATGCTTCACAAAACAGCAAAAACAAAACAATATTCACTGCCTAAAACACACACACACACACACACACGCACGCACACACACAAACATAGTTTTTCAACTGTCGACAGATCCCTCTATGAGGCAAGCATGAGGACTACCAGCAATAATAATTACAAAATAGATCTGAAATGTCACAAAAAGACTTTGACTTGTACCATTGAAGGACCACTAATAAGTAAGGGTGTTTTATTGTGTTTTAACCCCTGAAATCACCAAAATGAAGCTTATTTTATACTACAATATACAGTGTTATATTGTGTCCAAAGTGCCCCTGTTAAAATTAATAAATAAATTAAAAAAAATGTTTGCATATGTTTTAATTTCATTTCATATTTTTCAAACCTGCCTTTAGAATTTTATAAGTCGCATATTTTAAATGCCCTATTGAAAATGTCTGCCTTTTCAGTATGCATTTTATTGGATATTTGTGTATGTGAACAAAACTAAACAAACAAACAAAAAAATTGTTCTTCCTATGCTATTTCCTCTTCTTCCTCTTTTTCTCGGTTCTTTCCTATAGATGCTGAATTTGCTTGAGATGACGTCTTTCCTTTCAAAGATGTTAATGCTATATGCTTTTGAGCAGTTGTTGTTATACATAATCAGCATAATATTGTGTATGCCGTAATCAATATTGCGATGGTTTATGTGAAAAGAGGTCATTGTTGTTCTGTGATAAGATTTGCGAGTTTTTACAGACTACTCTGTAAATTAAAGTATAGAGACACAGTTTTTTGAAGAATATAACAGAGAAACGAATACCGTTGTAATCTTTGTAGTCAGTAGACAAGCATATCATATGTTCAATACCAAATCCTTTTTTTTTCGCCAGAGGTTAGATATGTAAGCATGCTTGTGATTACACACTTTTCTAACACTTCTCTTTCTGCGTGCGTTACAGCTCTGAATGGTATTCACTATTGATTATATGATATTCTTCTGCTTGTATCATAGGCTCAAATCCAAAGACAAAGCATTTACTCTATTTATGACTACAGAGTTTGTTCGTTTGTTCATTTGTTTTTCAGAAACAATAGAAAATGATACATATATTTACAGGACAAAGTACAATACAGATTTTAACAGGAGAAGCAAGCAAACATAAAATATCTTTAGATGAATCATATATATATATTTGTGTGTGTGTGTGTGTGTGTGCGTGTGTGTGTGTATATATATATGATATTTCAGATACAGATGCTGCAGTTTCTTTACTAATCACACAATGCATACTTTTAATAATAATGCTGACTACACAGTTTTAAAAGATGACATGCATGATTCCCTGAAAACGCAAGTGTGCTCATGTCATTTGCATGTTGAGGATCACTTTTTCTTGGCCACTGAAACCTGAAATGGTCCTAGTTAGGATTTGGATTGAGGAAATGGAGTTTGGAAACGGAAATTGAATCTCATCTGCCTCTCGGTCAAGTTTGTTACATGACACCTCAGTTCACCAGTAACATTGTGTTTTTGTATAATTAATCAAACAATTAATCAACTAAACAGTCAATTTATGTAACTGATTTTGTTCTGCTACTGCTGTTCCAGCCTGTAATGGAGTCATAATGAAGAATTCCTAAACGAATACATTTTTTCTTTTGGAAAATAACCCTGTTGGACTAAATTCAGGAATATATTTTTCTATTAGACACATTTCTAAACTTCCACCACATCTATACAATGTTTTCTTATTTCATTATAAGAGATGCTTACATACAAGTTTGAATCGACTGATTATATACCTTATATTTGAAAAGGTGTGTAGTTCATGACATGAAATACATCAAATGAAATATAAATTTCTGTAGGTGGTATCATATGTTTTTTCCTAATTTAAACTAAAACTGCTTACCACAACTTTAAACTTCCCTAAATTAAAATGACAAGTTTGCCACCTCATTTGAAATTTTGAATTCTAAATGGAGGAAATTAGCTTAAATTTACAAGACATTCTAAATTACATTCGGAATGATGGTTGGCCCTGCTGTTACTGGTGATCTGAGATAGGTTTCTGGTTTCTGGTACATTGATCTTTAGGACTCCATGGTAGCTGCATAATTTGATTTCTGCATTAATTCCAGTGGACTGTGTTTGTGGAAGTTAACACAAATTTGTGTGTGGTTTGCAATATACAAGTATCATTATCTTAATAAGCAAAATTTGCAAATTTGAAACTGTAAATTAGACATATTTACATGTACTCCTTCGGCAGATGCCTTTTGATATACAACTAGTGTATACAGTAGATTAGTGTAATAGGTAAAGATAGACAATATATGTAACTCTTTAATAATATCTCTTAAATGTACCTGTTTCATGGAATATTTTGTACTTTACATAGTTTACCATTCTATTATTGTTGGATTTCAGTCCAGCAGAAGAGCAAATCTGTTCATTCCAAAGGTTAATATAGTTATTATTTTTATTTAGGGGTTATTTGATTTAGTCTGTTTCCAAATTCATTTAGATTGACCCCAAATTACGGTGGATGTTTTGACCCCCCCCCCCCCCATTTTTTACACCACAAAAAAAAA